ATGAACACAATGCAAAATTTTATGGGAAAATAGATAGGCGGCGAGATCATCGGTAAGCGAGACGTCCCGGTAAGCGGGATCATATGAACAGGCCCTTAGACCAAAAATCTCTAAATGGCCTGGGGGCTTTGCCACTTTAACTTTAACCTTGCCCCCCCAGTCATAGCAACCGTGCCCCAGCTCCATCTTGCTCAGCAAACACTACACACCCCTTGCTCGCTTCCCCCACTGAATCCCCCCGAGCGGAATCTAAAAATCTTGATTTGTCACCCTGTCCTGACAAGAAAAACTCGGTGGGGTTTGGTTTAAGAAAATATGCCATTGGCTAAAGAATAGAAAGAAATTCGATGACAGCCCCCTCCCATTTTCTATAAATCACAGATAACATGTTTTTGCGTTGTAAAAAAACATTTATGTAGTACTAATAACTCACTTTGTGTGCAGTTGTTGTAGCTGAGCATAGTTTGAGTTTGTGAAACCTCATTTGGAAGCAACGTTGACAACCAAGGATACAAATCCTTTGTATTTTGATAATGAAACTGGATTGCCGTCAATATCTTTTACTTCAAATCCAAGAATGTCCTTTGGCTGGTCACCACTTGCCATAGTTTTAATGCCTCGTTCAAATATTTTAGTAAAATATATATTTCGAAACAAGCACCTCTGCAGCGTAGTAGCGACTGTAGCGTGGTGCATTCACTATATATAGTCTTTGAACAATTTATACACGCGGTTTAATTTCAGTTGTATTAATTCAAATAGGATAAATATACTTGGCCTCTTCCGCAGGGAACTCTGCTGGCCCCAAACGGCGAATTTTGTTCAATAAAGGTGGAATAATTTTTAATTTTTTATTACTGTATAAATTTTATATTAAAATTTGTCAAGAAGTCGATGGTAATAGGGGACAGCAAAATGATATAGTTGATGAGAGGGATTTATGAGGGGTATTTAGGAGGGATATGTGGCTTTGCTATAGTATTTATCGGATATTTTTCACGCCAAATTTAGACAATTTACGCGCGTATAGTGATGTTCTCGAATCGAAATGTTTGTAAAAATTTTATTAATACTATATAATGACCAGATTCCAATACCTATACCCAATATTTAACAAATATTTTTAAAATATTAACACACATAGAAACCTGCAAACCTGCATGATTCGGCAAACATTCCCTTGGTTCCTTTCGTCAGGCGGTGGCTGTGTTGTTTACTTGACGTAATCGCTACTGTAGTATTCGAAGTTGCAATATTTTGGCCACTGTGGTTTTGGCACAGAAGAAACAATAAATCTGCGACAATATTTTATCATTTGAGGAGGGAAAATGGATGAAAAGGGTCCGCCAATAGCCCAGCAACCAGGTATGAAAAATTTCATTTTAATATTTTGATGCATAAACGAGATTTATTTGCTAAACAGCTAATTCTCAGGATGCCTACAAAATATATGTGATTTATCCAGATTCACAAGTAGATCTATACATGTTATCTTCAAGTGCTCCTGAGATGAAATCCGACAAGTTACTGGGTTAGGAGAGACTGGATAGTGGTTTAAAAGGGTTTTTAGGTTATGAATTTCAAAATACACAAATTCCAAACCCCCATATTCATGTTGCCACGAATAACGTCGAATCGACGTTATGAGAGTGGGTAGGTGGGTTTTTATGTGAACTTGTCAACGTTATCTTGTGGCAATTTGACAATTAATGTCCAAAAAATAATAACATCGATTGGACGTTATTTGTGGCAACATGAATATGTACCTGGCCCCTAAGCGTCAGCGCTCTCCCCTTGAGGAGTAAAATCGTCTGGCGTTAGAGTAAAATAAATTAAATATTAAAATTAGAGTGCATCAGGGCACAATGCAACTCAATGGGTTAAAATGCATTGCATGTATGTTTTTATAATTTGCTGTCAGAATTGTCAACTTTGGCCAATCCATAGCTATTTAATCTTTGGCTTAATTCATGTCACTAAGAGTCTAAGACAGAAAATTCATGATTCACAATTCACATCTTTAATATCTTTATGGGTCATCTGTCTTTTTTAACATTAATAATATTTTACCTGTAACAAGGAGCTCATATCTCCAAGGAGTTTTTCAATTCAATAGGTCCCTGCATAGATAAAATATATTATATAATTACAATATTTTAGAAAAATCAAACATGATTTTTTCTGTGCATGTTGGTGTAATGTACTCAGGTGAATAATGATGCTTGTGATGTTACTCTGAGGCCCCGATTACACTATACCGGATTGCATCGGAGCGACGCAATTTCTGTACCGGATTGGGCTCTTGTTTACACTACGCCACTATAATCCGGTATGTGCCGCGGCGTGAAAATCACTTTGCTTTGGAGGTGATATGAAAAATAATCCGGTATGTGCGAGTTTGAGTTTTGGTCGTGTGTCGTGCGTCGTGGGTAAAAAGTTGTGTGTCGTGCGTAAAAATTGTGGGTCAAAGACGCCCTAAATTTCCATTTTTTTCGCTCAGACACTGCTTTTGCTAAAATAATTTCTGTTTTAAGGCCCTGTCACACTATTGCGTGTGAGAGAAATGTATGAGAAGCGTATGAAAATTAATGAAATAATTTTCATACGCACAAAAGTCCTTTGAAATGCCAGCATATGAGCACTGTAGATCTGGCGTACCTCCAGCGTATTCAGCGTGTGCCTAGAGTATGCTTATCGTTTAAAGCATACCACCGTATGCGACCGTGCTTGAAACATATACAACCTATTAGAGTGCTGCTCCGGAATCGCAGGGCCATAGGTTCAATTCCTACCAGAGGACCTTGTGCTGCATTTTTCACAGTCGTTCCTGGTTAGGTCTTAAAATGTGTATATTAATTATTTTCACTTGGATTACAAACCCTAACATCCTAATATTAATTCCACCAAGTGAAGTGCAAGAATCTAAGTCATTTGAGCCAATCTATGCCTAGCGTACCCCTTGCGTATATGTCAGCGTTTTCCAGCGTATGACTTGTTTAAATAATCAATACTCACTGTAAAATAAACTATTTGATATTTTTCATACAAAATCTGTTTTGGCATGTACGGTTTACCATTGTCGCTTTTACAATATTTTAGAGCTGTTGTTTGTTTCGCCTTACAACCATTTACTATTTCTGGCGAAGACCAATAAAGAAAACGATAATAACAGTCAATTGACTTTTTGCTTTGGACTTGAATTGGACTTAGCGAAACGAAGCAATGTCTGGTAGTCAAGCTTTTTAAACAAAGTTATACTTTACAATGAAAACGTGTGTTACTTCTTGTTTTTAATACATTTTAGTATACTTTCAAAAAGTATTACTTGTTTCCATGGCGACAGCAAGACATGAGCTGGCAACTGAGCGAGGCGGCATGCATAGTGTAAACACAGGCTTGTTTTTTATTTCGGATTGAAAATTAATCCGGTATGAAAATCAATCTGGTATTTAATAGTGTAATCCCAGCCTGAGTGTATATCCACACCTGGCAAGCTTGAAAAATATGCCTGGCCACGGTGGGAATCGAACGTACGACCTTTAATGGAATACTAGCCCAATGCTCTGCCAACTGAGCTACGAGGTCACTTCGGTTCGAGTGTGTGATATTTCGGAACCGAGTCTAGTCCCTTCAATATCGGTGTAATCTAGTAATCATGATTTTTTCTGTGTTGGTGTAATGTACTCACGTCAGGTGAATATAATGCTTGTGATGTTACTCAGAGTGTATATCCACACCGGGCAAGGTTGAAAAATATGCCTGGCCACGGTGGGAATCGAACCTACGACCTTTGGAATACTAGTTCAATGCTCTGCCAGCTGAGCTACGCTGTCAGTTCAGTACGAGTGTGTGATATTTCGGAACCGAGTCTAAAAAATCAAAAATATATAATATAAAATCTATATACGTCAAGTAGAAATTACATGCAGTATTAAAAGTACAGCAGATTATAGGTGTATATATTTAACAAAAAGATAAGATTTTGCCATTATTTGTCCAGTTATAGATACGGCAAAATCGTATCTATTTGTTTTATATATTAATAAAAAGAAAACCCTAAATTAAACAGGTATATAAATAGCTTGATTTTTATCCACCCAAACATTTGGAAATTTGAAAACGTCACACATACATGATCAAATATCACACATACATGATCTATACAAGTAAGGGAATGCTATTGGATAAGGCTTTGTGTGACCTAATTCTGTGCGCCTGCCCTCTAATAGATTATGGCTTTTGACCAATGAAAGTACTTGAATTCTGAACATTATTATATAAAAGGATATACTGTATTGGTGTGAAAAATGTTGGCATATATCTTGCATTATCATGGCTGATACCGATACCAAGTATAGATACTATTTGAAATGTTCCAATTTTATCTTTTATTTTAACTATAAACCTATATAGTTACATAACTTACAAACACCATGGCCGGCATGCTTTTCCCGCTCCCCTGTCCAAGCAGGCCTAGACACTACATCCCTCCAAAACTTTTATAAGTCAATCCGACCTACACTATTTATCTATAACAAAACACCGACTGCTTCCTCTGCCTCGCCGACCAAATTATCATCATGTTCATTTGCATGGATCTCTTCCTCTCCTCCCAACTGCTCTGGATGTATTATGTCGCTCTCGAATACATGACACTCGTCACATGTTCCATTCATTTTAATACCACCGCTACCACATTCATTGCTAGCTACCACATTCATTGCATTGGCGGCCACAATCAAAGCGTTGGCGGCCATAACAATAATAATGACAAGGCTAAACCTAAGAAAAAAGTAACTGTCATAGCTGGAGATTCTATTGTAAAAAAACTGCAAGGCTGGAGATTATCTGACACCAACAACCATGTAGTGGTCAAGAGCTTTGCGGGTGCTACTATTGATGATATGGAAGACTATTTGAAGCCTATTATCCGTAAAGAACCAGAATCAATAGTACTCCATGTAGGCACTAACGATTTAATGAACTTGTCACCCAAGCAAGTTGCCGAAGGCATTGGAAACCTAGGTTCCCAGATAAACGAAGA